CCCCAAAACCCCAAAACCCCAAAACCCCAAAACCCCTCATGATCCTAAATTATTGAACTGATTAAGACTTTGCTTAAACATAATTAGTATCCTTCTTACACCTAAACATCAGCCTCCTAATCTTACTTGATTCAGGCTTTAGTATACACAGAGTTTAAGCTCTTTTTCGTATTAGTCTTGTTTGAAACCATATTTTTGTAATATCTAAAGTTAGGATTACCCTAATTGATTCAAAGAAAAAGAAATACAGTTTTGCATGATCAACTTACCTCTTTCTCAAGAATGCTTGTGTGCTCTCTTGGGCTAGAGCATCTGCATGCTATGGATATCATAAGGCTAGCCTTACCACTTTGAGTGCTTTCTTGAAAATACCTTTATAATTATCCCTAGAGAGGATTAGAAGGAATCAAGTTAGTCAAAATCATGTAGGAATATTTACTCTTTGACTAAAGTATGCTGCTCATTACTCTTCCTCGACCCCTGGTACTCATTACTCAGGTCTTTATTCTTGGATTTTTTAAGTGACCCGGCCACTGAATAAGAAGATTCTAAGGAACCTTTGTTCAGCACTGGGGAAAATTTGGCAGCTATGAAATTACAAAGTACTACTCTCACCACTAATCTGGTTTGATATACCCATAGAATCCCTATGCGTATTGGTATTCTTACTCCTTAGAGTATTATGGAGTGAATTTTCTCCAGATGCCATCTTGATCTGGAGATAGCTCCCATCTCTAAGTTGCTTAAGTGATTGATTCCTCACTCTCTTGGGGCTTTGTCCTGCTTTGATAATTTCAAATCTACTGAGAGATTTAATGATTCTTCTTTGTTTTCTTAAGTCAAGTTCATCAAATGGGATTTTCTGAGGCATATTGATACACTTCCTGCCTTTATAAATATCAGCTTTAGAAAGAATATCCAACTCTGTAAGAGTTCCTTTATAGGTTCCCCTTCAAGCATCTAGGCAGTCAGGAGCTGCAGAAGGTGTCCTATAATTATATGACAAGGAATTACTTAGAAAATTCCCTCAATTTCTTAAGTGATGAAGTCTTGTGATAATTCGCTAAAGTTTGTTAGAAAGTAATGAAGTTTACAAAGAGCTTACGAACTCCATTTGTGAACCTTGTTGGGGAATATCACACGTTCTTCTCTTGATTTCTGGATAATCCCCATCCAATCTCTTTGAAAGTCTTGGATTTGCTATTAGGAGAGAAACAAGCATAAGATCGTTGTGATAATGAATCAACTGGTGTATTTGCTATTCTACAGTATTTGCTAAGTTTTCTCTCTATACCCTATACAAGAAATTACTCAGCAGGAAGTTCTATAAAACTCTAAAGGATATCCTAGACTTATAGCGAGCAAGGACTGTCTCTATTGCAGATGAGCATCTTACAGGGTCCATTTTATTTCAATTTTATAAATTCCAAAAGGGGTTTTGGGGTTTTGGGGTTTTGGGGTTTTGGGGTTTTGGGGTTTTGGGG